AATTCAATACGGTTCAAGAAGCTGAAGAATGGATGAATTTAACGCAGGTTCAAACAAAAACCTAAATATTCCATCATTCTTGTTTCTATCTATTGGTGGGAGTGCCGTCTTTAATACAATGGACGGCAGCACATATATATATATATACATATATATGTATACACACACAGATATATAACTATATTCGTCGAGAATTTATTTGGACACACGAATCAATCCCTACTGTTCATTTTCATTCAGGGTACATTTCTTCTCAACGATCATCCTGTTACATTGACACATCGATTCGACGACGATTCATCATCGATAAATATCAACAGCAATACTAACACTCATCGAGATTATCAACGTAACAATATCAATGAACTACGTCTTCGTGATTGGGATTGTTATAAAGTAAATAAATTCATTTTTTTTTGTTTTTTAATGATTTGATTGTTGGTTTTTTTTTTTTGTCTATATAGTGTGGTGTACAAAATTTTAAACGACGTGATCATTGTTTTAATTGTCATATATCGCGCGAAGGTATGTGGGGAAATAATAATAATAATAATAATACTATATATATAATCCAAATCAAATGAAGAAAACAAAAAAAGACAGAATATAATGAAAATTAAATAAAAAAAAAAAACGTTTTTCTGGAATTTCTTATAGACTCGGAACGAACACGAGATCTTGATGGATTCTCATTTGTTGGTTTAAATCCATGCAATAGTATGAAATAAAAATTAATCTTTTTTTCTTTTTTTTGTAATATTTATTTATTTTTATTTTAGCATTGGTACTGCGTGGTTTAGATATTTTAACATCTAAAGAAACAATTGAAACTAAATTACTTGAATTAACATTAGTACCAATGAAAAATGCTGCAATTGTTAAAGATAATTATACCGGTGTATCACGTGGTTTTGCTTTTGTTGAATATAATTCAATTCATGTATATTTATATGTTTTATTTTTTAAGATTTATTTAAAAATAAGAAATGATTGTTTTTTTTTTGTTTGTCAAGGATTCTGTATTAGTTTATGAAAAATTACAAACAACAACACCTGGAGTTGAAATCGAAGGAAAAGCTGTTATAGTTCATTTTTCAAAAAATAATTTTGCAACATCGTAAATTTATTTTTAATAATCCAAAAATTTTTTTTTTGCTTTTATGATTCACTTTTTTTTTTGTTAAAGACTTGCACAAATTCAAGATGAAGATGAAGATTTTTATTCAAGACGATCAACATCATCTCGAAATCGTCATCGACATGATCATGTAAAAATTAATATTTTTTTCTTTCTATTTTTATATTCATTTATTTTAATAGGATCGTTCGTCAAATGTTGCTCAATTACTTCCATCAAATAATGGTAAAAAAAAACAAAGGATAGACATAATATCATAATCTTTCAAATTTTCTATAAATAAATCTGAACAATCTAATACTAATATAAGTTATTCATAAAATTGAATACATTTTTTGTTTTAGTCGATCGAACAAATACAGCAGCTGAAATTGCTCAACAAGCATTACAAAATATTCATGCTCAAAAACAACGTGATTATACACGTCAACAACGTCGTCGAAATCATTCAAGTAGTGATTATTCAAGTGATTCATCATCAAATCAACAAAAAAAACGACAATGTTCAACAAAAAATTCAAAAGAACCTGAACAATATACAACACCAGATCCAACAAAATTTGAATGGTATCCAGAAGTTGGTTATCATTTTGATAAAACAACAGGATTTTATTTTGATGCTAAATCAACATATTTTTATAATCCAACAACACAAAAATATATGTATTGGGATCCAGCTCAATCAACATATATACCTGTTGAAGATACAATAACAACAACAGTTACAAATGAAACTACAAATACAACATCAACTGAACCAAAAGAAAAAACTGATAAAGTTAAAAATGCTCAAAAAGTTGCAAAAGTATGTCTTCGCATTTCATTAATTTTTCAAATAATTCATTTTGTTTATTACAGGAAATGGAACAGTGGGCAAAAAAAGAACGTGAAAGAAAAGAAAAAGAAGCTAAACGTAAAGCTCAAGCAGCAGCTGCTACTGCTATACCAACAACAACTACAAATGATGCTACATCTACAAACTCATCTTCAACAGGAGCATCAGCATTTGCTGAAGTTGGTCTTCCATCAATTCGACCAACTGGTGGTTTAATATCATTAAATTTAATGTCATCTAATAGTAGTACATCTACAACGAATCGACCTGCTTTATTGGCAGCATTTGATAATCCTGATTCGGATAATGATGATAATGATAATAATGACAATGATAATAATAATGCAACAAAATCTTCAACAACAACTACAAGTACAAATGTTCTTGATAGTAATGAAGAAAAATTAGTTGATTGGAATAAATTAGCATGTCTTCTATGTCAACGACAATTTGATACACGCGAAATACTTGAAAAACATTTACAAATGTCAAATCTTCATAAAGTAATATATCTAAAAACCTTAATCAAGTTCTATCGTAGTCATAGCAATTGTAGCGTCATCCTACATATTTCGTTCTATGACCAAAAATTATCGAAAAACTTGTAGTTGTGTTTTTATTTATTTAATAAATTTTTTTATTTAGGACAATTTAGCGAAAGCCGGTATTGTTCGATCACAACCAGTATGTATTGATATACTTTTCATTTTTTTTTTGACAATCTTATTTATAAAATTCTCTTTAGCTTTTTTATCGTGATCGTGCGAAAGAACGTCGAGAAGCATTTGGAACAGATGATTCAAGTAAACGAAATGATTATTCACCTGTTCATGAACGATCGTCATATTCAACAAATTCACGTCGAAAACATAATCAAAGTAAAGAATATAATTATCTTTTTGTTTGTTCTCTAATTAAGTTTTATATATTTAAATTTTATAGATCAATCATCAGCGTCATCATCAGATAGTATTGGTTCAAAATTAATGAAAAAACATGGTTGGCAAGAAGGTCAAGGTTTAGGTAAAAAATTACAAGGTCGAGCTGATCCTCTTGAAGTATGTATTTATTTAAACAAAAAAAAAAAAAGAAGATAAGAAAAAAACTTATTCTTTTTTCTCTAGGCTGAAATGAGACAAAAAGGACTTGGTCTTGGTGCTGATCCACGACTTAAATATAATGCTGAACCTGGAGATTCATATAAAGATGTTGTACGAAAAGTCGCACGTGCACGATTTTCAATGATGGAATCTTGACAATATTCATCTTTTATGTACATGTTTCTTTATATATTTCTGTGTGTGTGTGTGTGTATGTGAGTGTATCCGTCACTAGTATATATATTCATATAATATATATGCTCGACAGTTTTTTTTTTCTACGATATTAAATACATATTATGGAGATGAACTTTGTTTCGTTGTACGAACGTTGAATATGAATGTGTTAATTATTACAAATAGTGAATGAAAGTTTAACTTTCCTTATGTTTTTGTTTAAAGTTTATTTGCAAATGAAAAATCTTATAAAAAAAAAGATTCAATGAAAATTAGTAGGATGAATATTATTTGTTGCAATAAAAACAAAATTATGAAAATGTGATAATTTTTTCAATGTTATTGATAAGAAATGTTAAAGTGTATGAGATCAGTTTATGTGAATAAAGAACTTAAAAAAATTATTAAGAATTGGTAAATATATTTCAACTGATTTGATAGATAGTCTTCCTCAAGGTCGATTTTTCAGAAAATTTTTTTTTTTATACAAGAATCACGACTCATGACAAAGTTTACTATGTCAAATAGAATTCTTGATTGACAGATCTTTAATTACCAACAAACTTTGACAGACTTACTGAGGCTTTTCTAAGAGTAACTATTTGACTTCAAAGTTTCCTTCCTCAAAAACGTCGAATTTCGTCAAAAAAAAAATGAATTTTTGAGAAAAGTATACAGACATGTTGTCTAATGTGTCTACTTTCAATATTCGTAAAAAAAGACTTCAATTTTGAAACATTTTAGAGAAAACTAGTAAAAGTTTCTCAAACTCTCTATGGCAATATTTTCAAGCGAAATTAGGTAAAGACCAGAGAAAGCCATAGGATATCGCTACCTTATATGAACTGCACGTTGCACTAGAAGTATAGACCTATGAATCTTGATTACTTCCAAATATCGATATACGATATCACCATATTTTTTCATATTCCCATCGAAGGACAGTTCAATAAAATGCATGAAAAGAGTTCTTGGGCTTTTCTCAAAAAACCGGCTTTTGTGTGAGTAAAGGATCTCCGTGCAAATTTTTTTTCATTATAGTTCGTCCTAGAGAATTGTGATTTTTTTATTAATTAGGATGTTCGATTCTCCTCCGGATAAGGAGAAGGGATATTTAAATTAAGCTTTGCTCCTATAGAAAACCTTGGGTCTACGGAAAACCTATTCTGGTTTTCCAGAGATCTTTGAGGTTTTGACGTCCCTACAATTACAATGAGCAACAATAAAAAATCGCTTCACCTCATCCAAAAGGGCAACAGTTCTCTTTCAAATAAAACGAATCCTAGTCCTCTATCTTAAAGTATAGTGAACAAGAATTTGTTCGGGCTAAGGATTCATTTTGGGCTTTGATTCGTAGGAAACTTCTGAATGCTAACGTTTAGAGAGGTGAAAAAGAAGTTTCTTAAGTTTATTTTTATGGCTCCAACATTTGTGGAAGGTTTCACAGAGATTCCATACATTGTAACGAAAATCAATTTTGGAGGGAGAGAGATCTTAAGAATCTTAACAACAAAATAGTTCGATATCTGCTTCAAAAATATGCATTCAAAATAAACCATATCTGGCTGAACTTTATTGTAAAACGTATTTGATTTGAATATGATGCACCGAACATTCGCAATCTTACTGTAAACATTTTCTTCCACACAGAATGTCTCGAATTAATCAGTATATATATATTTTATAATTCTTGTTCAATATGATTTTATTCAAAACAATTTTATTAATTTAATCAAAACATAGGAAAAAGTTACAACGAACGAAAATAACTATGGAAATCTTCTGAATCTATATTTATATCATAGCCAATATATAATTCTTTGACTTTCATACAATTTAAACGTGTTCTACCATTGGTAAATCTTTTTGTGACAATTATTAATTTATCATAACAAACTCCTAATCTGACCAGACAAGGTAGATGTGTTTTTTTATCATTAAGAAATTTTTCAAGATAATGATAATGAACAAATATCAGATTAAGCGAAGTAAGATAAGGAAATTCAATAACTGTTGAATATACTTGATTATCATTTGAACTTAAATTATTTGATATTCCTGATTGGCTCGTATCATTGTAAACCATTAATGCTTTAAGTAAGGGAAAAGACAAAGAAATTCGCATGAAAAGTCCATGTTTGAATGGATTTCCATCAGTGACTATCAATTTTATAACATGATTGAAAATAATATTTGAAAATGTATTACCAATATAAGGAAGATAATCAAACAAAAATGGTAATGAAAAAAAGATGATATTTAATATTATATTCTCGATATTTGATCATACAGTCCACTTGATGATATATATTATTAGAAAAAGTTTGTAGAATATCATCTTTTGATAAATGATCAATTGGTTGATCCAAATCCTTAAATGTATGAAGTCGTGGCATATGAACAATAATTTCATTATAAATATGTTTACCATCAATAAACATTGTTTTATTTTCAATAGTAATATGTAAATTTAATTGTTCAATATTTGACATATGACGTAAAAGAGGTAAAATATGATTCTTATATGTATCACTATAACAATCATATTGTAAAGAAAAATATTTCAAGTCAGGTAGATTATTTTAGAAAATAGAACATAATATATTATTATTATTATTACTAATTAAAATAAACAAAAAAAAACTTGTTAGCGCAGTTCCATTGGAACTGAAATGTGGAACTCACGTAACCTGATTTTCATTGTACTAATAAAAAAAATATATTAAGTGAGAAATCTCTAATAGACGATAGGCGCTTCCGAAGATAATTGATCGTTAGAAAGCTTTTTCTCTTGTTTATTTTTGCATTTTGTTTTCATTGCTAAGATCTGTAATGTGGGTGTCTGCGATGAGGAGGGGGCCGGAAACTTCGATTGAAAATGTACATTCACTATTTTTCTTGCAAAAATATACTTGAGTTCCACAAAATTCTCATGAAATAATTCATTGAAAATTAGTTCTATTAGTGTTTTATTCATTTTAAAGTATTTCTTTAAATCTATAGTATATCTTTTACAAAATGATGATTAAAAGAATTATATTCTAGTTCTAAGTATCCAATCGATAGAAAATAATAAATGAGATAAATCAAAAATTATGATTCAAAATATTATTCATATAGCAAAAAAGCCTTTAGTGTAATCTCTATGAAATTAATTCGATACGACATATATATAAACAAAGATCGAATATTATTTTACGCGAATGTTTTCTTTTTCATCATTATATTATTCTTGATCAGGTTATTTGTTTATTTTTTTAGATATACAGGGTGGTCCAGAAGTTACTGGGCAGTCTTTGATTACGAATAACTTTTGATAGAAACAAGATAGAGAGGTGCGGTTTTCATCGTTGGAAAGACAATGCTTTACTGAATACTTCCCTATATTATCGCTAATATAGATTGATTATTAAATAATCAGTCGGCGATCTTTGGAAAAACAATGATAGTTCTATAAATGTGACATAGAATAGAGTGGTCTTAAAATTATTCGATTATCTGTAATTGAAAATAACTCTTGTTCTCTTCGTTTAAACAAAGCTTTTCGCATCTCTTTCTTATAGTCATTGACTATGTATCTCTAGTCAATTTGTTATTGCTTCTTGTTCGTTTGCTCTTTTAGCACATATCGTGTTCCTGTTTCTCTTTCCATTTGCTTTGTGCGTCTCTCTTCTTTCAATGCATTCTTTTCTTGAGCGTGCGAGATGTTTATAAGTGAAAAGATAAGGAACAGAGGGAAATTTTTTGACAAAAGCGAATGGGAAGCATATTTTTGGTTGCTTTTGTTTTCTTTTGCACGAGTGTGTTGATTGTGCTTAGCGAAAAGAATAAAATTAATACTAATATTTAGTATTTTCTGTTTCTGGTTCGAACAGTGTATTGTCTTAAGTTATATCTGATGATAGCAGAAAGTCCAGAACAAAGACCCACTACAGAGCAACGAGTATTTGTGGTAAAAAGTTTTTATCAGACGAACAACAAGACTGAGACCTGTCGCCTTTTTAATAAACAATTCAATCGTCAAATCAAACGTGACACCGTTGCAGATATTGTTGATCGATTTGAAGAAAACGGCACAGTTGATGAGAACAGATGATCAGGTCGACCTCTTACTGTTAACACAGTAGAAAACAAAGCCGCTGTTAAATCTCTTTTTACCAACGATCCCACAACATCAACAAGATGTGCTGTATCTGAGCTTAGCATTTCGAAAACGTCAATTCTACAGATTTTATCCGAGTTGAAATTGCGTTCGTACCGTCCTCGCCTAGTGAAACAGTTGAATGATGATGATGATCCCGATCGAAGGATTAAATTTTGTGAAAAACTTCTGACGATGGTCGACGAGGATGATAGTATTCTTGATAAAATGATTTGGTCGGATGAAGCAATTTTCAAACTTAATGGGCACGTCAACAGGCATAACTCAGTTTACTAGGCAACCGAAAATTCTCGAATCGATATAGAAAGAGACTTCAATGTATCTGGCATCTGCGTTTGGATAGATCTGCCATCGTATGGTATTATTGATCCGTAGGTTTTTACTTCTACTGTCACTGGTGAGAGCTATGTAGAAATGTTACAGAATTATTTTCAGCCTGTAATCGCTGACTGGCCAAATTTGAATGACTTCTGGTATCAACTCGATGGTTCTCTGGCTCACTACAGTCGCATTCCTCGCGAGTATTTGGATGAGACGTTTCCTGGAAGATGGATGGGTCGTTGGGGTCCAATTGACTGGCCCCCAAGATTGCCTGATTTGTCACCACCCGATTTTTTTTGCATGAGGTGTTGTAAAAGACGCGGTTTATTCAAAGAAGTCCACGTCGATTGATCAGTTACAAGATGAGATTATTAATGCGTTTCAACAGATTTCAACTGACTTATGTAAAAAAAGTCTGTCGGTCGATGGAATCTTGTCTTTACAAGTGCATTGAAGCTGACGGTTTCCACTTCGAACAAGATTATTAACTGATTATAATGTGACTTTCTTTGAATCAAATACTATCTGATATTGATGCTAAATGTGAAAAACACAGCATAGACGAAAATTTAATAGCAATTACAGATTACCTTATTTTCATAGCACAATAGGTTACCTACACAAAATCAAATGTCTTTTCAATGCAATAGTCATTTTTGGAACATTAGAGTTTGATCAAATCAATTAACTTAGATTAAATTGAACTAGAATAATGATTCACATTATTAGGAGTTGAATTGATTGGTTCAACTATCCCTTTTAGATAAATAGATCATTTTGAAATTATCAAGTGATTTTTTCTATAATTACATAAATAGTCACAAAGGATTGTTATGGAAATATAACATAGTCGAGATATGATTTTCATTTTTTCTATATTATAGTTTTATGTATTCTTCATTATTTTAAATTTTTTATGAATTTTAGGATCAAAAGGTAAACCTGTTATTGATCCACCAGGTGCTTTCATTAGTTTTGATTGCTTGTCAAAACTATTCACATTTGGTCTTGAATGGTGTGGACCATCAAAATTAGACAACTACGTTATGACCTGCATCGTAATTAATTTGAATGATATCGATGAAAAAGAATATTCGTGGAACATTCAAGATGTGAGTGTGAGTGTGGGTGCAAAAACAATCGAAACACACCCACACCCTACACTCACACATCCACACCCCACACACCCACACCCTACACTCACACATCCACACCCCACACACCCACACCCTACACTCACACATCCACACACCCACACCCCACACACCCACACCTACACCCCACACCCTTATTATTGTCCATTTCAAAATAGAAGAGAGGTGAGTAGTTTTTGAATAAGTCAAGAACACAAGTAAATAGAGAGCCCCGATTTTCACCATTGGAAAGAGGAGATCAAAACGCATCAAATCGTATAATACATATTATTTTTGACAAGTTTTATATGGGTTTTTCAGATTACTTTTTAAAGACAAACGCATCGAGCTGGGTCTTAAAAATGAATTTTGAACTTTTAGGAGTGTATTAGAACCCTTAATTGAAGATCTACAAAACTATATAAAGCTATGATATAAAGCTTTAATGCTTCGGATGTTTTGAGCATTCAATTCAACAATTCGAGTCGATATTGCCAGCAATTTCTATGAAAAAAAACTCTTCTTAGTTTTTTCATAAAGAAAAAATAGAGTTTTTCGTGGCTTTTTTTTAATAAAATTAATCGAAAAATTTGAAAGCCCAGGTAAAAGGCGTTGCCCTATACGGTTCGATGCGTTTTCATCTGCTCTTTCCAAGGGCGAAAACTGCAACTCTCTATCTTGTTCCTAGCAAAAATTACTCAAAAAATATGCATCCCTCTTCTATTTTGAAACGGATAATAATGCCTATTTAGTGGATATTTTTTGAATAACTTTTTATAGAAATAAGATAGAGAAGTGCGGTTTTTATCGTTCGAAAGAAGAGATAAAGATGCATTGAGTCATATATTATACGTTTTTTTCACATGAATTTTTTAAAGGTCTTCAATCAATCTCTTTGAAAACAAACCTACTCGTAAGGTATTTACAGTGAATCTTCAATTGTTAGGTATGTATTGAAATCGCCGATGGAAGATTTACAAAACCAGAAAAGGTTCACATAAGTAAAGTTAGCACCAGATTCGAGTTTTTACTGTCCGGATTCGTCCCTGGACTTGAGTTGATTTTCGTTCAACTTGAGTTATATGCAGAATTTTACGGCGAATCTGATGGTGTAAAGATTAAGGGGGGTCATCGAGTAAAAATCAACACTTGATCCCCAAAATACTGGTTTTTTCAAAAATTTTCTAAAAGTTTTTCCTGCCCGAATTCGCTATGTTGCTTGAGTAGGGTTTAAAATTGGTTGAGTTAGACTCAGCTCGAAATTCTGCATCGAATGATATCAATTTTATATGGGGCTATCGACGAAAAAATTTTCACTTCACTCAATCCCACCCCTCAGAGGTCATCCTCACCCTCATCCAGTCGAAAACTTTTTCGTCGATAACCCCATATAAAATTGATATCATTCGATGCAGAATTTCGAGCTGAGACTAACTCAACCAATTTTAGACTCAACTCAAGCAACATAGCGAATTCGGACGGGAAAAACTTTCAGAAAATTTTTGAAAAAACCAGTATTTTGGGGGTCAAGTGTTGATTTTTACTCGATGATCCCCTTGATCTTTACACCATCAGATTTGCCGTAAAATTCTGCATACAACTCAAGTTGAACCAAAATCAACTCAAGTCCAGGGGCAAATCCGGACAGTAAAAACTCGAATCTGGTGCTAACTTTACTTACGTAAAAGGTTTAGAGGTTTAGAAATAATTATTCAGAATTTATTGGCATCCCAGTCAAAGTTTTAAGTGATTTTTATGTCAATTATTATAAAAGAATGTTTCGCTGTTTCCTTTTCGATAAGAAGCTATTTTTCTCTATTTAGAAAGCTGATTAAACACACATTAGACCATATACTAGGAAAACGTATAATGCATGATTCGATGGATCGTTATCTCCTCTTTGGAACGATGAAATCCGTAGCTCTCTATCTTGTTTTTATCAAAAGCTATTCAAAAAATATCCACTAAACAGGTACTAGTACTACCAACACATGATAGCGAGACAAATCTTATCGAAAGTTTATTATTATGATATTAGTTGAAGTATGATCGAATAGCATAGAAAAGTAGAACATTTTTTTCTCTATCAGACTATATACAGAGAAAGTTTCTTAAAGCTTTTTATAAGAAATTACAGTACCACCGTCACAACTTTTGGATTGCCGTAAATACTTTTATATGTAATAAATGACATTCATAAATCACACATAACATAATCATAATTTATACATTGAACAATAAAAATGCTAAAATAAAGTTGAAGTTTAGACTCATGTTTCTTTTCGTTTTATTTCGAGAGATTAACAAGAATATTTTTGTTGGAAATTAATTATATTAGATTTCTCTTTCACAACAATCTTTTGAGTTGCAATTGAGTTATTCATTATTCGCTCGATTAAATAAACTTTGTTCATTAATATTATACTGAAATTGTTTTCTTTCCTTTCACTTCAACATATTCTCGTCACTTTTGCCCGTCTATAACACATATAGTTTACGTAAAGACATCCTAAAAAACCTTGATCATACCGAATACTTGTCTTGATCTATTTGAACAACATCTATAGAAAGAATTCTTATAAAAGAATTGGACGGATCTTGAACTAGATAAGAATCATATATGTTATCATTTTTTTTATTCATGACATTTCGATCTATTAAATATGGCATTTCTGCTTACTAATCATTGAAATGGATTTAAGATTCCTGCCATAAAAAAAACTTTAGTAATTCAAAATATATCAACTTCTAACAAGTGATTTAAAGTGAAGAATTTCTCTATATTGTACAAGTGTTCATATAATTTTCTTTTTATTTATTTATTTCGTATGGTTTTTTTTTATATATGCATGTTGTTGAAAATAAAGTTTGGAAAATGTATTTTTATAGGATGCAAAAGATTGATCGAAGATAAAAAGGAAGAACAAAACATAATAAATCAAGTTAACCAAAGAAGAAAAAAAAAAGATATATTTAGATAGAGAAATCAAGAATCAATAGCAGTCGTAACAATCAAAGCAATAATCAATGAAAAAAGAAAAAAAGCTGTTGAAAACGAAAAAATTTACAGGAGCGCATACAGTACAGCACACACACACAAAATAGAGTGAGTAAACACAGTATATTCATAGTTCGAAAAAACAAACAAACACACATACACACACAGATAGATCAGTGCTAATCATAATAATCAAAAAACAAAAACGAAATGCGCTCATTTGGAAGCTCGTTATAGCGTGTCTCTTATGACTGATGTTTAACTCGTTCATTAGATTGTACATCTAATAAATTCTAAATTTTTTATTATCTTTTAGCTTTTTTTCTCAACTCATCCTCTTGATTTTTTTTTCTTTTTAAAGCTTATTGTTGAGAGAAAAAAAACTCCGAGTAAAACAATCATACACAGAAATAGAGAACACACGCTCATAAATATATCACTCGGCCAAAAGAAAAAAAAAATAAGAAGAAATACAAAGTATGCAAACAGGAACCACAAAGAACAAACAAAAACGAAGCAAAACATATAAGCATGTTTTCGTATTTTTTATCATCGATAGAAAATACTGTTGCAATATGTCATTTTCATAGGGCTCGATGTTATTATTCAGTCCTTCTTTTCTCCCAAAAAATTTTGGGTAAATTTTTGTGAAAATATAAATCAGGAATATAGTGCATAAAACACCAATGAAACAACAAAAACATTTTATCACATTGCGAAGCAACAACAACAGCAACAACAAGACAAATGAAAAACAAAAAAAAAAAAAAAAAAAAGAAAAGTGAACACGCATACTACTTGTCAATAAAAAAAAACCAAAAACAAACGAAAACACAGAAAAAAAAAAGCATTAATAAACAAAAGAAGAACTATTATATTTTGCCTTTGCTTTTGTACATGGAACAAAACGAAAAAAAAAAAACAAAAACAAGGCTAAAGTTGCACGTTATGTCAACATATTTTATGTTTGAGCTTAAAGTTCACATGGATATTTACCGCCGTTGCTAATTTTTCAAGAAAAAAAGAATCAAGTTGATGAAAATCACATTCGTTCAACAGGGGAAAATTATCAACACAGCATTGATATAAAAGAAACTTTGCTTGCTTTTTTATTTTGAATTTTTATCTTCAATAAAAACTTGATTTTATTCTTGCTCGTTAACTAATAATATTCGATTATCCCCTAAAAATAAAAACAAAACAAAAAAATAAAATAAAATATTTATGAATTAAGAAATTTTTTATTTCAAGCTTTTGTATTATAACTTCAGGTGTTTACGGAACGAGATTATTACAAAAATGAAATCAATAAAAAGAAAGCTTGTGAAGTAATGATTTTAATAATCAATAGAGTTTTCTTTTACTACGATTTCATAGATGAACTATGATCGTAAAGTTTCTAAAACCTTGACACGATAGTTTTCAGGTCTTAGAAGACTATTTTTTTGATGATGCCATTTTAAAGAGCATAAAATGAGAGATCATCGCACTTTCTACGATTCTTTTCGATCAGAGAGAGGTCATTTCAGGAAAATAGATGAATTTTATAAAAATAGACTAAAGATTTTCGGACACTAGGAATACGAATCTATAGGAGGTTTATCGAAATTTTTGAGTTCAAGAAAGGTTTGGTTCTCATGGTTTTTATGAAAGACAGGTATTTTATTGAAATAGACTTCTTCCAATCGAAAAAGTCGAAATGAATCTAACGAAGGAAGTCCCTCCAACTGATAAATCACTTTTGAATCGAGACTATGTCTATCATATCAACCTTAATGAGCTATGAATATCCTGAAAAGAGTTCAAGTTCTTGGTTTATTACTGCCGAGATACTACATTTTTATGATATTTTTTTAATACTCCTCAGAAACACTAGGAAAGATGATTTTTGAATTTCGATTCAGAACCTTGGACAGAGTCGGCATTTGTGACAATAATTTATTGTGAAAGTTTTAGATCTTTTTTGCTGCTCCTATCCTGAAATAAGAATACCAAAGCCGAAGCATATATGAGTGACATAAAAGACATGTTTTTACCATAACCATATATTAGGGTAGGAATAACAAAAAGATGTAAAATTCTTACAATAAACTATTCTAAGAAAGGCTTGTTTGATTTCAAAGTTTCGAATCAAAATGCGAAAATCATCTTTTCTAGTGTTCCTGAGGAGTATTAAAAAAATACCGTAAAAATGTAGTATCTCGGTAGCTAAAGATCTTTGTAGAATATTCATAGCTCATTAGAGTCTACATGATATTGATCGTAGTCTCGATTCAAAACTGATTAATCAATTAGAAGACTTCTCTCGTAAGATCACCGTCACCGTTGCATCTCTAGTTTCTATAGAATAATATTAAAACCGAGAAAAACTTATTGTCTTTTAATCTAATAACATTGTTTTGAATTAAAAAGAAACATCTACTTAATATAAAAAGAATCTAAGAGACTTTTTTCATTATTCATTCATTACCATTCAATATGTTTTACTCGAGAATGAAAAAGCAGAAACTTCAGACATGAAATCGTTTTTTTTTTTCCTTCGCACTTTAATTTACTTATTAACAAAAGCAACATGTCTATGTGAGAGTATAGAAAACTTTTTATTTCTTTTTATACCTTGTTCATAATGATCAACAGTATCTGTCCATTTCATAGCTAGATAAGCCGTTAAATCATCAAGATTAAAACGATCTGTTTGAGCATTTCGTCGTTGTTGACTATAGACAAGTTGTAATGCATTCGACATTATATCTGATGATGATGATTGTTGACGTGTTTGATGATATAATATTGATGAATTTTTATAACCATCATCATCATCAATATCAATATTATTTTGTTCAGATTTTGTATCAATTAATGATGATGATGATGATATTGGTTGAAAATATGCTGTTTGTGATGGAATTAAATGTTGTGTATGTGAAGGATAAAAATAATGTGATGGATAAATTGTTGGTGTATAAACAGTTGGCATTGAATTTGATTGCTGTTCAGTATCAATTGAAGATTTTTTAGTTGTTGATGGATGAAAATAAAATTGACCTGTTGGAGTTGAATAAACATATAATGGTTCTTGTATTTGTTCAGATGTTGATGAATTTGTTGTTTCATCATGATCAATTTCATTTGTTGTTGTTGTTGTTGTTGTTGTATATGTTGTTGGTAGAAGAACATATGGCGATTGAGGTGGTATATAATGTGTACGTAAATAATTCATATAAGCTAATTGTTGAGAATAATTAGCTAAACGTTGTTGATTATATTGTACAAGAAGTAGTGGATCAATATAAGATGATTGTGATGAATAATTACGTTGTTGATGTGGACGAATATCTGAACCTGAATAGAATTGTGGTGAACGATTATTTCTTTGAGAAAATCTTCTAGGAGATTTTAGTATTGATGAATCATTTGATATATCATTTGATTGTATTTGTTGAATTGACAGGGATGTTGATGTATCAATATCAGGTTCAGTTGTTGTTATTATTGATAGTTGATTATTAGTATCAATATTATTATCATCAGATGATTTAGTTAATGTTGTTGAATCAAGTTCAAAACCAAATGAAACATCATTGAGTTCAATATCAATTGATTTATTAAGAAAAACAACAGGTGGTGGTTTTGATTGTCGTTTTAATAATGATGATAATGATGATGATGATGAATGAGATGATAGACGTGGTGATATTTGTTGTTTTTCTATGTTTTGTTCATTAGTAGAATTTACAATTGAAGTTGAAGATAATTGTTCATCGGATAATGGAGGTACAGAACGTACAGGTTCAGAAGAAATTCGATTATTTATTTCTTCTTTTGTTATTGAAGCAATATTAACTTTAGTATTTGGCAGATTATTGCGTAGTATTGGACGTATAATACCATTTTTTGTTGTCGATGAAATACGTCGTTTATCATAAGTTTTCGAAGATGTTGATGGCGGTAAAAAATGTGTTGAACGTGTTAATAAATTATTATCTTGACGACGTTCTTTTATTAAACGACGACGATTTTTTACAGTTACAAATGGTTCAGATATAATTTCACTGTTCAAATTATTTGTTATTATTGAAGATAAATTATATAAATCAATATCATCATTTTTTAAAGATGTATTATTATCATTATGAGTTTGTTCGAATAAATTTGGTATAGAAGATTCATCATTCTGTTAAAATAAAAAGAAAAAAAAAAGGATACAAATAAATTTCAAATTTTCAATATAAAGAAAATAGTTGAAAATATATGAACTTCATGGATAATAACATATGATGCAAACGTAATGATACAAAATGTCGATCCCGATTTCTCTTCGATAAAAGAATGCTGAAAGAAAACTTTTTTTGTATTAAACGATAGAGTTTTTGCTCCTCTTTCGAATCCTATATATAACTTATTTTTATAACATATTCATAAACGAAATGACGCAACAGAAGAGAGAAGCACCCTTAGAAAAAAATATCCGCACTTTTCCTATGAAGAAACCGTGCACAATGTCAATCCTTCGATAAATAGGTTCTGATAAGCGAGATAAGAAAAAAGAGAAACATTCACGGAAGAAATTTGTAATTTTTATATGAATTCGTTCAAAGCATCTTGTAGATGATAGCTAATTATAATTAACTGTCGTTTTTATAGGATTTTTTTAACGTTTTCAGAAAAGTCAAAGTAACTACTGGTTCACAAGATCTTTTTAATGCGTCCACAAAAATCGAATTAATTGTTGTCTAACAAGATGCTTTTTGACAAGTTCATATAAAAGTTGCGAATTTATTGCGCGAATATTTCTTATGTCATTTCATTTACGAATGTATGACAAACATAAATCGTACATTGTTTGAAAGAGGAGAAGACTTTCGATCAACTGATAAAAAAAAAATACTGTTATCGAAACGCGTTTATCGAAGAGTTATCAAAGAGATATAGGGATCATTATTCTGCGCCGTTTTTCTGAATCTCATGAAAAGTATGGATTTTTTTCTAGGGATGCTTCTCTTTTCTGTTATACCATTTCGTTTATGAACATGTTATAAAAATAAGTTATATACGATTCGAAAGATGAGAAAAAGCTCTATCGTTTGATAAAAAAAAATTTTCTTTCAGCACCCTTTTATTCAAGAGAAATAGGCTTCGACATTCTTGTGCCATTATTTCTGTATCATATGTTATATGCGAATTACAAAGTAATTAATAAGACATTAACATTATTATTATTATAAGAGATATATGTCATAATGATAGATTCAAGTATTTCTAGGATACTCGAGTTATCTTCAGATAAAAAAAAATCATAATAAAGATATTATCTAAAGTTGATACAAATTTGAAATAATTTCGTTATTTATATGTCGATCCGTTCGAATTAAGCTAATAGATATCAGAATGAAATAGAATCTCCTTAACAAAATTCGATTTCAATAAAATTTTTCTCTAAGAATTTTAATAGAAGAAAAAAATCAGTACTTATGATTTATTTAATAAGCTATTTGATGTCAATATATATGTAAGAATATAATGTGATGGTTAAGTAGGTTAAAAAATAATTTATTCGCTTCTAATAATATTATATTTAAAAAACAAAAATCTATTTGAACACTCACAATTATTTTCGTCGAATTAACATCGACTGCATTTAAATGAGATTCATCATCATTATTATTATCATTTGATATATTTTTATTTATTAATGATTGATTTGTTATATCAATAATTGTATGTGTTTTAGTTTGATTATCTTCATCAATAAAATTTAGTGATTGAATATTTTGTTCATTAGTTGTTACATAATTTGATGTTTGATTTTCATTATTATTTGTTGTTGTTGATATTGTTTGTTGTAAAATATTCATTGATTTACGAGATTTTTTACGAGATGATGTTTTATTACTATTTGTATCATTTAGAGAATTTAATTTTGAAGATAATCTTGGTTTATTTGTATCTGTTGGACGTAAAGGAGTTGAATTTTGTCGTTGTTTTGATGAATCTCCATCGATAAACATGACAAGTTCATCAACATCACGATCACCACGATGTCCTGGAATTAATTCTGTTCGTATGATTTCTTGTTGTTGAGACTTCAAAAAAGAAACAAAAATGAAAGAAAGGAAGAGAAAAACATTTGATGAAAATAAAATAAATCATTTTACTTGTTTTCGTTTTTTTGATCCACGATTTTGATTTGGACGTGTAGTAGTATTTCGTGATGAATTTAAATGTTGTTGTTGTTGTTGTTGTTGTTGTTGTTCATTATGTTCGGTAATGTTTCTAGAAGGAAAAAATCATAATAAAGCAATAAAAAATTCTTTTGTTCTTTCTTTTTTTTTTCTTATGATTTATATTTACCGATTTTGATGACTAGATGATGGTAATGGTATATTTGTTTGATTATTAGATGATTGTTGTAAAGAAGATTTTGATGGAAAAAGAATTGTATTATGATCTGTAGTTATTGGATTTAATTTATTGACATTGCCATTTAGATCTGTGATATTGAAAAAAGAAATAAATGAGTAGAAGAATTTTCTTTTGTATAATCTTTAAGAAATAGTAGGACTGGACTGTTTATATTTTTTTTTTCCTCTTTCTTACCACCATTTGGAATATAAACAAGATTTCCAGATAATTTATAATATAAATACATTATTAATCAATGTAATTATGTATGATATAAATTTGACATAATAGAATAGACATCAGTCAAAATATAGAATGAATTGTAATCGATGACTTTTGTTTTTGAAGATGTGTATAGATATAGTTTGTAAACGATACATGAAGGAAAGCATAGTGATTATGTTAGTGGAGTGATAATAATATTGAAAAATGAGATAAAAGAGAGAGAGAGAGAGACAGAGAGCAAGACAAGGAATATTATTCGGTCGGTTGATCGGTAGTTTGTAAAGAAGAAAAGAAAAAAAAAAGAAGAGATGGTAAATAGTATGTGAATACTTTCGATGTACTTGTGCAATGTTATATTTCTCGCTTGATTCGTTCTTTTTTTCTTTTCTTTTCATTTCTTATTCTATATTTTACATCGATTTTGATGATATAAAAAAAAAATACAATCATGACTCAGTTTTCAATACATATACATATATATATATATATATGCAGTCCTTCACAGCCAAGCATTTCAAAATTGTCTGATAGTACTTTTTAGTCAATTCATTACAAGTACAAACAGAATGATGATAAAAAAAATCTAGCATATCATTCATCAATATGAAAACGAATAAAGACAATACATACCATCAATATTCAACTGTTTCATACGAGGTACTTGTAAATGAAATTCATCATTATTATTAGTTTGTTCTAAATGAGTAGTATTCAATCGACTTGATCGATAATTATTTTGTTCATCTAATAGAATAATAAGAATTTATATATATATATAAATAGAAAAAAAAAGTTATTAATTACTTATATATGAATATTTAATATCATGTGTTTTATTCAACTATAAGAAAATTGAATTTCATAGAAATATAAAAAAATTTTTTTTTGAGGAGAAGAGGACATTGATTAAGTAGGTGTTCTACTGTTTAATTAGAAATTGTTTAATTATCAAAATATTCATCATATAGAGAGAGTCAAACCTCTATTCGATGACCTCTCATTTAAGTTTCTTTTCAGTTCAATCATAATTTATCGAAATAAAAGACAATAATAAGCCTCTACTTATCTTCTTGATTCATCATTTAAAAAATTCATTTTTCGAATGATCATTGATTGAACAGAACTGATATAGTAATCCTAGCTTAGACTATATGACGTGTGCAGCGATCATTGTTAAGACATACATATTGAACATGAAAAAAAAAATGAACAACAAAGTAACATGAATGAATGCATTTGTACTTAATTATCATGATTTACCATTAACAATTCAATACAATAAAGTTATAATGACAAACAACTTAATTTGTTTTTTTTTTATCATTATGTATATATCGCGTGTTTGTACATGATAAATTGCTGATAACTTTTTGTAGTTTTTTCTTTTATTTTCTTCTATATTAAATATAATTTATAAATCATTGCAATTAATAATATTAGGACTGAATTGAGATTGAATTCAAATGAGAGCTCATTGAGTGAAATCGAAAAAGTTTAAGAATCGATGTAAACATATTTTTTAGATGATGTGCGGTATCATATGATGACGATTATGAGTATTTTGAAAAAAAATTTGTCTTTTTATAGTTATTTACTATGACGCTAATTGATTATTTACTAAATTAAAATTTTTCTCCTTCTATTTCTGATCAATTTTCTATGTCAGAAGAATACTCTCTATACATGACGAATACTTTGATGACGATATACAATTTCTAATTATATGATGAAACATATTGCCAATGAAAAGAAACATCAGCTTGAATATTTAGCATAGTATACAGTAGAAACACCTGGTTGACCAATGTCCTTATTATTTTCTTTTTTTTTTTAACTTACTGATTTTATTGATGTATCTTTTGTACGTGGCAATGTTGTTGAATATTGATTATTTGATAATGTTGAATTATTATAATGTTCTTCATCGGATTCTTCATCATTATCTGTACCAGAATTAGTACGTATACTACCACTATTATCTGATGATGATTTTGTTGTTACTGATGAACCATGTGAGTTATAACCATTATTTGGTAGATATTTACTACGTTCATATGGAATATTTGTTGTTGATTGTTGTGTACCATAAGTTTGTGAATGATTTTTATTTAATAATATGGTTGATTCTGTTAATGGTTTTTTTGTTGTTTCAATTAATTCATTATTATCATCATTATCTTCATCATTTGATAATTTTTCATAAGGAATATTTGTTTGTGTATTATCATCTTGACATTTATTTGATGTTGACGAATCAGATGTTGAACAATCAGATGATGATGATGACGATGATGATGAACGTTGTTTAGTATTATTATTATTATTATCATCATCATCATCATTTGGAAAATAATTTATAACAGCTTGTTCATGAGATTTATTATTATTTTTCATTGTAGTTTTATGTTGATGATAATTATCTTGTTTTTTATTAAGTTCAAGTAATATACCAGCACTTTGTGCAATACCTTGTTGAATTGATTCACTTGTATCACCAAATGGAGGTGACCTCGTTCGATTTTTGTTATTACTGTTTTTACTTGTACAAACTGGAGCAAACGTCTTAAAAAAAAAGGCATTATATGAAAGAAAGGAAAGAAAAGAAAAGAAAAGAAAAGGAACACATCATGTCTGTTCGTCGCTTTGTGCCTTGGTAACATACAACATTCTGTCACAGATATATGCGTACACACAGAAAGACACACCTATCAACGTATCTATATTGAAAGAGAAAGGCATACGCAAACAGACAATCACACTGTGGTACATTTCGTTCTCCCACGCAAAACTATATAAGGACGAAACTCATGTGCATAAAAATTTAATTCATATTATATAGATTAATATTGAATAAGAAAAGAAAAGATTTCTAAACCTTTTTATAATCTTCAACATTAATATCAATTAATATTGGTTCAGATTGATGATTAGATGATGATGTATAATCAATATCAACAAAACGTGTTTGATCATAATAATTTCCTTGCATTAATTCATGTGATTGATATTGTTGTGTTGAATTTTTTATATATAAATTATCATTGTTTATTCTAAACAAGAAAATAAAACAAAAGAAAAAAGAAAATTAATAAATTCTACAAACTTTTTTGATGAGGAATGTTTTGTTCGTAAATCATGTATTTCATCGTATGCTTGATTATTAGCTATTTTAGTTTCAATATTTTGTTGACGTTTTATAAGTGATGGTGTTGTTATTATTCGAGTATTTATTGTTGATAATTTATTATTAATTGAATTTATTTGTTCATCATTATCATCATTATGATTTACTGCTGATTGTATTGGCAGATTTGACATAATGATGATTTGATGATTTTATTTTTTCAATGATTGATTTCACAATTGAGAAATCAATTTAAAAAGTTTTCTTGTTTCTGTTTTCAATCAATTGATAATTATTATATAGTTTTGCTTGTTCAAATTAGAGATAATATTCCACATGAAATATATCTAAGCAAGAAAAAAAAAATCAACTGAATTATTTTAATGATGAATTGTGTTATAGAAAAAAAATAAAATAAAATAATAATTTAATTGTATTAAACGAATAGATATTCGATCTATTATTAAAATTCTTTTCATACATTCATCATACATTGTATACACAATTATCATTCATCATACTACAGCCATCAATAATGTTTGATTTCCTCATAGCAAAAATCATAGTTGCGCTACAATCAATATTAATAAAATTTAAAAGAAGAAAATTTTCTTTTTTCTATTATAGAAGAATTTATTTTCTAATGAATAATTAGTTTAATAAAATTGTTTAATTTAAATTAAGATGAATTATTTATAGTGACATCTATTGTTAGTTTGATTTACTTTGGTGAGAGTTTAGATATGGAATATAACTAGTAACATGACGATGATTTCTTTTTTTCTATTTCAAGTTGAGTAGAGAAGAAATTAGTGAGAGAAATTATTTGTTTAATAATTTTTTTGATAAAAATAAATTAAAACAAAAAATGGAATTGAATTAATAATAGTTTTCTTATCGAATCAAACTAATAATGAACTTCAATAGGAATATAGTAAATTTCTTTATCTTTTCTTGAAAAATGATATCTGATTAGCGATGTTCAGATAATCGAGAAATAAAATTTTGGTAATTACAAACATAGGAGAAAGTAATTTCTAGAAAACTTCCATAATTCATTACAATACTAAGACATTAATTCTATCTAAATATGCACTAACTATACAACCCTAGTAACTATGTAATGTGACGAAAAAATGACTTTCTCATTTGATGCTGACTTCGAAAATTTTCTTTTTTGTTTTTTTTGAAATCCGAACAAACGTCGAAAAGATTAGGTGTGATTCTCAAATGAATGACAAATAAAACTTACAAATATGTTATAAATAATTTTTTATTTAAATACAGCATAAGTAAATATTGTAATCTGAATATTGAATAGCATAAAAAAATGAAAACGTTGTAATCAAATAATTTCAGATAGAAATGGTTTCAATTTACTTTTATATTGCATCTATTATAGACGTTTATTCTCTTGTTTTTCTTTTTATAAATAAATATATATATATATATATGTATTGACAAGTATTCTTTATCAAAACATGAAAAGATGTAAAAATAATAATAATAAAAAAATAACAAAAGTAAGTCTCATCAAGGTTGTATTCGACATAGAGAAGTTTTCGAACAATTTTTTTTTTCGAGTCTACTATTTACTCTCATCACTTTTTTTCCTTTTCTGGCAAATGAAAATTGTTCTATGTTAATATTTGATTATTTACTTACTATGATGAAATGTCTATCTAATATTAGACTCTTCTCAAGTCTTCAATGGTTGTAAACACTTTGCTCTTTATTTGAATGTCATTTTATCTTATGTCTCTCTACCACAAGGATACAATAGAATTATCTTGTCTTTTTCTCTATTTTAATTTTATTGAATTTATTACAATTGAATAAAAAAACAAAATACATAGCATGAATAATTCTTATGAAAAATATGATTAGTTATGAATATTGAATTTTATCATAAAGAAAGTTCAACCGTAACAAACATTTGATAATATAATATGTAATAGAAAAGAGGAATGTTTGTTAAGATTGTTTGTCATCTAGAGTAATGGAATGAATGAATGAATGAGTTAAGATTATTTCTATATGCCATGAGCATATTTATGATTAATGTTTTCTTTTCATCACCGGATGTATGGAAGAATACATTATCAAAAAACATCATTTACAAAAATAGCAGTTCCATTAGATTCAACAAGTACTTTTCTAGGGAACTATATTAAGAATTTTGTTTGTTGTTTTATAAATGATTTCTTTATAATTATAAAGACAAACTTCTAAGAAATTTTGTAGACTAATGAATACTATATAGAATTATAACTAGTAAAATATGTATAGATTTTAAAATGATTGGTTTTTGATTTCGATTCATAAGTAAAGTTTGTCGTAAAAAATGTATTTCTTTTTTTTTCCTATAGAGAAATTACTTTATAAACATAACATTAAAAAGAATAAAAAATTAATTGAATTAATTAATTTCTTTTTTTTTTTTTTTGTAGAATTACATGCAAGTTAAAGATACTTGTCATGTCAGATCCTAAGTATTTAGCATATTTATTCTATAAACTATGAAAATAAAGTTAATCAGTCGTTTATAACTTACGAGGAAGAAACCATCTGGACTGATACTTCCATTGTTTGAACTTTTTATTGATTCTACAAGGACACCTTGATAAGAATAGAAAAAATCTAAAAGAGTTCGTCTCTATCGACTTTTGGTGAGACGAGTTATGATCGTTTTACTAAATTTTCAACTTAATTTTAAAAGTATATACTGAAAAATCAAAAGTTAGCATATCGATTTGAAATCACGTCTACAAATAAGTCTCATGATTCATAGAATATTCTGAAAGTTTCAACAGAAAATAATGACTTTTTTTTCCTATCGAGATATTAAATTGCTAAGTAAACTCAATTTTTGTATTATGCTCATGACATGTGATTATATTTTTGGGAAATTTGATATCTAGGCAATAGTACATTCTTTTCAGGTGAAAAGTTTCAAGATATTCTATGAGTAATTCAACCTATCCTATGAGAAAAATTTCAAGTTTAAAATTCTTTTTTTTTCATCTTTTCAATAAATACTTAAAGTTGAGTTAAAAATTTAGTAAAATGATCTTAATTCAACTTTAAAGATCCTATTTTTGTTTTTGAACATTTTCTATTCTCATTAAAACATTCTTGTCAGTTAAATATTTATCTCAAACAATAAGTATCCATTTGAGTAATTCATTCTTATGTTAATATTAATTTGTATAAAGATATTCAAAATAAAAATACAAATAAACTTTGTTTTAATTTTCGTTGTTTCATGTCTTTGATACTGTTCATTAAAAAATCAACAAAAGAAAGAAAAAAAAAAACGTACATTAACACAAAAAAGAACACGAATTAGTTTAACAAACACTGTTCATCAGAAAAAATCTATTGCAAGAAGAAAAAAAAAAAAACAACAACACATAGATAATCATACAAAAGACCAAAAGAAAAATAAAAAACAAAATCATAAACATTTAAATGTTTTTTATTTTGTTTTTATATCGATGTTTATAACATTTTATATATATATATATATATGTAATGAAAATCCTTATTTAGGACAACACATTTTTTTTTTTTTTTTTTTTTTTTTTTTTGAGCAACAAAATGAAATAAAGAAAGTGACTGTCAAATCAGTTACAAAACAAAACAAGAAAAAAATAACTATCCCAAATACAATGAAAGAAAGAGAAGAAAAAAAATCAAATCACAGTTGATCGAGAAATACAAAAACTATACATAAATGATACATTAATAAGGATAATTTGTATTATGTTGATGATTAGTAGAAAAGGATGAACCTGTTAAATTGTCTGTTGTTCCTTGATATGAAATATCCATATGTGAATGTACAGATGTTGATGAATTATTATTATTATTATTAGTAGGCGTATTAACCGGTGTATAAGATGACGATGGTGGTGTTAAAAATTCATCGAATAAAGAAGGTTTAACATTATGATACGATGAAGTTTGTATAGAATCAAATTGTTGTGAAGTATTTCGTTGATCTTGATAATTATTGGATGAATAATATGGTGATTGATCATTTGATGAAGAAAATAATGATGATGGACTTGATGATGTTAGAGGATTATTATTATCTATAGGTAATAATCCAATTGATTTTGCTGATGATGGTGATGATGAAAATAGACTATTAAGAAAATCTTTTTGTTCAGAATTAATAATAGGTACTGCTGTTGTAGTTGTAGAAGTTTGCCGTTTTTGAATATGTCGACGTGCAAAATGTTTATTTTTTATATTTTCTAATTGAGATAATTTATTTAATATTGTATTCTACTTTATGAAAAAGAAAAAAACAACAGATAGAGAAATGATAGATTTAAACAAAAAAAAAAAAGAAAGAAAAATTTTAATACTCGTTTTGCTTTATCATTTATTTGATTAGCATCAATTGTTTCTTGTCTTCGGATTAATTCTAATTGAGATTCTAATTTGGCTTTGGCTAGAAATATATTTAAAAAAATCAAACGATTTATATGAATAACATAAAAAAAAAATTTTTTTGAAAATTATTTCTCGTATATATTCTGAATTCGAAATATTTTTTTTCTTCATTATGATCTGACTAAGAAGAATCTCAATCAATCCTTTTTGCCTTTGAATATAACAATGGAAATTACAAGGAAAACCAGTGATACGATTAGTACTGATTACCGACCGATCGATTGTTATCGCTGGATCTTATTAATGTTTTTTGGCTCTGAGTATCTCATAGAGGATGTATAATGAAATTTTATTGAAACCTGGCTATGTCAGAAAACACTATCCACAGATGAAATAGTATGACAACTCATTAACCTAGTATCAGTATAGATTTCAGACTGATCAGTCTATCGACGACCGTTCGATCAGAGCTGGTCTATTCAGGCCGATTCCATCTCTGAGGAAACTATTCGAAGTGAATCATCATTTTTGTAATAGAGAGAACTTCTAGACTAGAATAACTTCAAAGAGTTTTGGGCTTATAGACATTCTCTCGACAGAGTTTTTCATAGAAAGAGTATTAGCAGAAGAATTTAGAATCTAAAATTTTGCCTATAAGTCGATCTCGAGACACTAATGAGGAAGCATTCCTGAGTGTCTCGCTCTGATTTCGTTCGTTTATATATCATTCAATAGGGAACCTCGAGTAGATAAAAAGTCTTAACGGATTGCGGTCGGCAGCTTTTTCTTC